TCACTTGTTATAGCCCCTGTCACAAGTGAGTGCCTCACAGTGACAAAGCCTCTTCGGTCTGGCTTTATTTACATTCTTCTACTAGACTTACGTACCACTCAGAAGTAAACTCATGTGCTTCTTGTCAGTCAGGTCTGGCAACTACTTTGGCATATTAATCTCCCTTCCAGTAGCAGGCCCAGGACTTTCTGGGTTGAATCATCTTGAGATTTGGCTCCAGTGACTGATCTGATGGTCAGGAGAGGAACAAGGCAGGCTTTAAGGAGACTTGCTGGTGTCTCCTGCAGCATTTCCTTAGGTAAGTTCTCATGGGTTAGGGAAATCTGGGGAGTCGAGGGTTCCAGTCGTATTTGACCAGTCTCGGGGTCCCAGTTCTTCTTTGTTATGGGCCTGACTTTGACGTAAACACTCACGGGCTGATAATTTATTTATCCTTCTCTGAAATTCTCCTACTTTTATAGTTAGGACTTGTGCCTGAGCTCAGTCTGCCGGCTGGCTGGAGGAGATGAAGTCCTCCTTAAGTGCCGCGGAGGGAGATGATGCTCTGTCATTCTCACCCTCTGCTTTAATTTGGTGATGAAGTGACCTGAGCCTGTCTTTCTCTCCTCTGCTTCCTTTCCTTTTCTCCTCCCTGGCCTTCTTTTCTTTCTCCTCTTCTGGTATTTTCGGCCCTTTGCATTTCCAGTTAAATTCAAAATCAGTTTGGCAAGTTCCACTAGTGAAAAAATTGTTGAAGGCTAGGAGTATAACTTGGTGGTAGAATGCTTGCTTAGCATGCACGGGCCATTTGGTTTGATTTTCACAAGCATGTGTATACACACACACACACACACACACACACACACTCATGCAGAGTTAGAGTTGAAATTTCTTTTTTGAATTTTGTTTGCTTGGTTTTTATTTTGGTACCAGGCATTGAACTCAGGTCCTTGTGCTTTCAAGGCAGGCGCAATACCACTGAGCTAAATCCCTAGCCTACTTTTTTGAATTACATTGAATCTAGAAATGAATTTGGGGGAAATTGACATGTTTAATGACTGTGTTTTCCATTCCATGAGCATAGCATGTAGAACTGCTTTCAAAAATATTTTATGGCTTTCTTTATAGAAGTTTTTCATCTTTTTTTTTTATAGATTAGGCCTAGGCATATTATGTTTTTGATATAATAAATTATATTTAAAACTTTTCATTTTCTATTTGATGCAAGTGTGTGGAAGTACATTGAAATTTTATATACTGAATGTAATATCTTCTGATTAGGGTTAGCCGCAAGGTAAGAACATTGCCCCAAATTTGGAAGACAAACATAAAGCGGTAGCCATGCTTACTCTAAAGATTTATATAGGTCTGGCCTTTTTGCAGCCCAAATAAATTTTTGCAGATGTGCTGGCCAGCGTGTGTGTGTGTGTGTGTGTGTGTGTGTGTGAGAGAGAGAGAGAGAGAGAGAGAGAGAGAGAGAGACAGACAGAGAATGTCTCAGTCCTGATCTCATTTCATCATTAGATATGATGTTTGCTGTCTGTTCCCCCTCTTCTTTTTGTAGAAATATTTTTATCATGTTAAGAAAGTTCTGGGCCAGGGATGTAGCTCAGTGGCACCATGCCTGCCTGGTAAGCACAAGGTCCTGAGTTCGATCCCCAGTACCAAAAAAAAAGAAAGAGGGCTGGGGATTTAGCTTAGTGGTTCCACTGCCTCACAAGCACAAGGTCCTGAGTTCAATCCCTGGTACCCAAAACAAAACAACACCCCCCAAAAAAACCACACACACAAAAAAGAAAGTTGCATTCTAGTCCTAGTTTCCTAAGACTTTTATCATGGGTAGCGTTGAATGCATTAAATGCCCTTTTTTTTCTGTAAGACAATCAATGATATTTCTACTTTATTCTGTTAGTTGGTGAAGTATAATATTTATATTAAACTATTTTAAATATTTCTTTTAATATTTTTAATGTAATTTGTGTAGGATTTTCCTTCCTTGAATATCCTTATTAAACAAGCTTTGGTAGCAAGGTTATGATAGCCTCATTAAAGTTAGTGGGGAAGGGTTCTCTCTTTTAAAACTCTAGAATAATTTTATTTATTTATTTGTTTATTTATTTATTTATTTATTTGGTTTTTTTGAGACAGGGTCTCACTATGTAGTTGAGACTGACCTGGAATTCACTGTGTAGCCCAGGCTGATCTCGAACTCACAGTGATCCTCCTGCCTCAGCCTCCTGAGTGCTGGGATTATAGGCATGTGCCACCACGCCCAGCTTAAAACTCTAGAATAATTTTATGAGATTATTGCTTTCACTGACTAATTGTATTAGGTGGTTAGGTACTCTGGGCACTGGGACTTCTCTATGTGAAAATTTCTCTATTTCTTATGTGAAAGTTCTTTCCTTTGATTTTGATGGTTTGATTTATAATTTCTGGACTTTACAATGATGCAAAAATGATATGCAGTAGCTATGATACTTCAAGCTTTAAATTTTAGCATTTTCCTGAGCTAGTGATAAGCAGTACCAGCCCCATGATGATAAGGGTAAAGGGCTGGGACTCTATGGTGCTGTGTGGCCAGCATGTTTAGGGCATGTTTGTATTTTCACATCCTGTTTATGAGTGTGTACAGGAGATACTGAACATTTTATGTAAGATGGGCTTTATGCTAGCTAATCTTGCCCTCTGCAGGCTAATGTGTCCTGAGCATGCCCGAAGTAGGCTGGGCTAAGCTATGATGTTTGGTGGGTTAGATGTATTAAACATACTTTTCCCTATATTTTGTACAGGAGCAAATTCCCTATGATGAGTGTTATCATTATGCATACCTAAAATGTACCAATAAATGTTTTGCTTAAAAAATAATTTTCCTTAATTATATTTTAAATTTACAGTGGTTTTATCAGGACCTAAGTTAATGAGCATCTTTATGTATGTATTGATTTATCTTTGATCTATGAGGTATTTTGAAGTCTATTGCTCGGGCTGGGGATTTAGCTCAGTGGTTCCTCTGCCTGCCTTGAAAGCACAAGGTCCCCAGTTCGATCCCCGGTACCAAAAAAAAAAAAAAAAAAAAAAAAAAAAGAAGTATATTGCTGGAATTAGTATAACTATAGACATTTAATTTTACAGGGAGCAAACAGGATTCAGAAATAGAGCCTAACACATATAATGAATTGATTTTTCAATGCAGGTGCCAGACAAAACAGGGGAGGAAATGTTGTTTTTTCAACAGATGGTCTTGGAAAAATTAGATGGATATCTGTGTGGAAAAAACATGAACTTCAACCTTTAACTCAAGCCACGTATAAAAATTAACTTGTGATGAGTAATGTCTGAGACTATGAAATGTTTCAAAGAAAATGTAAGATAACATCTCTATGACTTTGGAGTAGGCAAAGATATTTTAAAGAAGATCCAAAAATTATAATCACAAAAGGAAAGGA